GAACGGTTCCGTTTAATATGAACACATTCGTTAGTAGGTGATTGAGAGGAGGTTCCCGAAGTTTGCTGTGGAGATGGCTTAGCCACTCGGCGCTTTCTGAACTCCAGATCTGCTTGGTAACAAAGTCCATCTACCTGATCCAAAGTCTTGGCGAATTGGCGGGCAAGACGTTGACGACGCCTTTGACGAGCCCTCTTCGACAAATTTGGCACATCTTCAGCAACCGACTCCTTGATCGAGGAAGAGTTCAGATCTGTAGGTCTGGCTTTATTAGACGCAGGTGGCTCTTTGCGAGGTATAATTGCAGCAACGGTAGTGGGGAGATCGCCTTCTTCAGTCTTCAGATCTAAAGACCAGTGGATCTTTCGGGAGGAGGAGACCTTCCTGCTCTTATGAGGAGAGGCGGATCTGGAGGAGGAGGAGGAGACGTACTCCTCAAACTTCTGTTGGTTGAACTCGTATTCGACCTCTTCAGCCACGGGGATCTTGATTGTTGGCTGCGGCACGACAGCCTCGGCAGCGAGGCTGTTGGCCCTCTTCAGCCACGGGGATCTTGATTGTTGGCTGCGGCACGACAGCCTCGGCAGCGAGGCTGTTGGCTCCCACTGTGGTCGCCAGCTTGTTTGTGGAGAAAGTTGATGTATTCATTGTTGTGTTCATTACAACTTCAAACGTTACAACGAAAACAAAAGTTAGTCTTTTTATAAGACCCTCACAATGAAAATAAAAAAATACAACTCTCGTCAAACAGCGCAACGGGTGTTTATCGCCCGCTGCTTGCGTGAGATCTTGGCCTGTGACGGGGACGTTAGTATCCATGGACCACCAAACGATCAGATCAGATCCGGAGCTTCGTTGATTCGCGAAGGAATCAAGAAACCAAAGCAATTATCTCGGCAATAGCGAGATAATCACTCTTCTCGAGATCACCGCAACAGGGCAATCTCAAGGGAAGGAACCGAGCTACAGATCTATCGAACTATCTTCTTTATGCCTGAAGAACTCGATCTGATCTCCTCCTCCTCTTTGAAATTCGTGGCTCTTCAGTCTTTAGTTCGGCAGGGTTTCGCCGACGCTTGAGAATTCCAGATCTAAAAAAATAAAGGCCCTGGGGACGTATTTATAGGCTTCAGGGCCTCTGTTTTCGGATAAGAATGATGGATTCACTCTTATCTTCAGTTGTAACCACTTAACCACGTTCTTGGATAGATTCAGATCAGTTGGAACAAATCCAGGTGGTTAACGTCAAAAAACAGCTTAAAACTGGCAAAAACAGCATTCTAGCGTCTGCGAACACCCATGGGTGTCTCGGCTTGGCCGAGACACCTCTGGGTGTCTCGGCCTGGCCGAGACATCAGTGAGTATCTCGGATATTTTGATCCTAATTTCCTCATATGACCTCTAAATGATCTAATTCTAGATGCATTAGAAAGATAACAAAGAGATATACAATTTTCATGTTTCAAGTTTCTTCAGATTCGAAACGAATCATGACCAAAATCGTCATTTTTCTCTGAGACACCAACACTGTCTCAGAATTCTGAGGCAGTTTGTACTATCTTTGGTATTTTGACTTTATCTTTCTCATACCATTTTAGAATGAGTTGATCCAAGATGTATTGGAAAGCTAACAAGGAGATCTACAATTTTCATGTTTTGAGTTTCTTCAGATTCAAATCGAATCATGACCAAAATCACTTTACAAGGTCCGAGACACCTTTGGGTGTCTCGGCTTGGCCGAGACACCAATGGGTGTCTCGGCCAAACCAAGACACCTTGGGGTGTCTCAACCAAACCAAGACACCTTGGGGTGTCTGGCCAAGTCGGCCACCAAAGGGTGTCTGGACTTTGGCTCAAGGCTCGGTCTACGCGTTCCATTCGTTTTCGCCGTATTTTCTTCGTTCGAACTCGGAATCATGCGATCCAAGATGCATCGGAAAGCCGACGAGGAGATCTACAAGCTTCCATGATTGAATTATATGTGGATTAAACAAGACGTGAGGGGTGCTTCATCTTTCGTAAGCGACATGTAGCTCCCGATCCATTCGTGTTTCCGTTATTCTGAAATTCCGTTGCTTCGCATGGTCCGTCGACTCACTTCATGCGTTTGTCATCATCAAATGAGCTTCTGTGACTCGAATAGTGATGTTCATCATTTTCTCTCTATCTCGAGTCGTGTGCGAGGACCTATAGGTAATTTTTAACGCCTACAGTAGGCAGCTGTGTTGACTGCTTCTGCCCAGAACTGCTTTGGAAGTCTTGCTTGTAGACGTATGCTTCTGGCTCTCTCAGTCAATGTCCTGTTCATCCATTTTGTTATATTGTTTTGCTGTGGTGTACCTGACACTGTTCTCTCCAATTTGATGCCACTATCATAGCAGAACTTATTGAACTCAAAATCTTCATACTCACCACCATTATCTAATCGTAGCTTCTTGATCTTCAAACCTATTTCATTTTCTACCATAGCCTTCCAACTTTTGAACACTTCGAACACTTCTGATTTGTGTTTTAAGAAATAGACCTAAGTCTTCCTCGAGTGATCATCTATGAAGGTCACAAAATACAATCTTCCACCAGTAGACTGGACTGATGCTGGACCCCACACATCTATATGAAGTAGCTCAATCTTCTCTTTTTTCGGAGTTCTGCCAACTCTTTTGAAGCTTATTCTCTTCTGTTTTCCAAAGATGTAGCTTTCACATAAGTCAAGATCAGTTGACCTCAAATGTGGTAGCTTTTCATTCGACTGCATAACCTTTAGCCCTTTTGCTGCTCATGTGACCAAGCCTTTTGTACCACAAATTTGGATCTTTTTTTCTCTCAACCACTACAATAGATCCACATGCATCTGTCGTCATATAGAGAGTCCCACTCTTCGTGCAAGACCCCCTTGGTAACCTTCCACGTATTACATACGAATGTTGTTATATATCCCTCTTTTGCCAGCTATCCTATGGAGATCAGATTCTTCCTCAAGCTAGGAACATGTCTCACATCATTCAACTTCTATACAGACCCATTGAGGTTGATCTACACTACTCCTTTTCCAACTATATCACACGCTTGGCCATCACCAAGGTAGACTTTTCCTAGATTTTCTAGAACATAGTTCTCAAATAGATCTCTATTTGAGGTAGCATGAAACGATGCTCCCGAATCTAGCACCCATGATTCTGCTTTGTTCTCTAACGAGCAAATAAAGGCATCATATGATTCTCCTGAGGCAACGTTCGCTTCAGTCTTGCTCTCCTTGTCTTTCTTGGTTCCCTGCACTGATTCTCATAGTGCCCATACTTGTCACAGTTCCAGCAATCAATCTCTTTCTTGCTTTTACGATTTCTAGATTTTGACCTGTCGTTCCTCGAATTAGGTCTCCCACGGCTATTCCCTCTATTCATGTTTCTGTTTCTACCTCTACTTTCAACATTTAGTGCCGACCATGAACTAGAGACTCCTTCTTCTTGCCTTCTAATCTCCTCGGTCATAACCATGTCAACAATCTCTAAAAATTTTAGTTTTAATTTTCCAAATGACCCGCTAATCGAAATAACGGTACCCTTCCAACTATCAGGCAACTGGCCAAATATTAAGAGGGCTTGAATTTCATCATCGAATTTAATATTAACGGAGTTTAACTGATCCGTGATCTCGTTAAATTCATTCAGGTGATCCTTGAATTTTTTATTCTCAGACATCCTCAAATTAAATAACATCTTTATGAGATGTACCTTATTCACTGCAGAGGGTTATTCATATATGCTGGATAAAGCAGTCATGAGAGACACCGTCAAGTCCTGATTCTTGATGTTGAAGGTTACAGATCTGGACAATGTCAACCTGATTGCTCCAAGGGCCTTCTGAACTAACAACTTTCATTCTGCATCCTTCATATCCACCGGCCTCTCTCCCAATGACAAATACATATCCTTCTGATAGAGGTAGTCTTCCATCTGCATTTTCCAGTACTCGAAGTTTGTCCCATCAAATTTCTCGATCTTGGACGTCTCCTTCTCGGATCCCATATCTAACCTCAAATCGACTGCGCCAAACCTGGTCGCTCTGATACCAATTGTTAGGTTTTCTAACCCCTGTTATGATTTAGAAATAGATATGAGGAAGAAGAAAAAGAACAATCACAGAGAACACAGAGAATTTTACATGATTCACTTCTCAACGAGAGAAGCTACGTCCACGACCGCCGCAAGAAAAAATTCACTATTCTCAGGTCAGTTTACAAGCTGCCCTAGTCACCTCTTTTATAGCATAGAGTTCTTACAAACAAGAATCTCAAACAGACTAAAAAACGAGCCCAGGCCCAAACCGGAGTCGCAGTCGACCGCCAACATGGCGCGGTCGACCAACCAGTACGTCAAAATCTTAGAAAACCAATTATAGGGTCCACGGTCGACCGGGCCTAGCCTTGCGGTCAACCGGTCAGAATGCAGAAACACATCCTGTAGTGTGCATGTTTTTCGGTCGACCGGGCCTTGCCTCGCAGTCGACCGGCCAGCACCCAAAACATTGCCTGCTTCGTTTTTCCTATTCTTGCCTGTTTTTCTCTTCAATGCAGCGAATAGGGCCGAGTTTGATAGTTAGGCTCCACATAGCCTAACATATGCAATCTCACTTGCTTTAGTGCATAGGGGCACAGTTTTTTGTGTATATATTATCAATGTTTATAAGAGATTGGCTTAGTATATGTCCATGCATGTAAAATTATAGAAAGATCTTCATTGATGTCTAACAATTCCATTTAATGAGCCATTTAATGAGGCATGAGTGTACGTGTGTGTGTATATATACATATACATATCTATGTGACTATTTAAGCGTATATGTATGTGGCTATTTTAACTTGATAATGTCAGTATAGTAGCTACTCACCAAACACCCTAGGTTGAAAATTAAAGAGGGGAAAAACACAACATGGCTAACAATATCATCAGCTAACACAAGATCATAAGCTACCTCCATTTATCAATACGAACAACTCGATATATAAATTTCAGCACAACTATAAAAATATAACGGCAAGATAACATCTAACATAGCACATAAATTCACAATTACTAAATATGTTCCTTCACTTTCAGTAACTTATATGGAACTCAAGAAATGCATGCAAGTATGAACAATTCATTAGATCACTCGATATTCACTCAAACTTCTTCAGGATCTTCGATTGCTGTTGTATATGACTTCATTGATCTTGATGATGTGGATTGCAGAGGAGTTGTGTTTTTACTCCTTTTACGCTTTGATTTCTTTGGCACTTTTGGTATCTCTGGACGAGGGTAATCTATAGATATCGCAGGAGACTGAAATCCTCTTGGTTGATCGAAATCTGTTGACAATAATTCGCAAAATTGTTATAACCAATTAAAAGAATAATAAATATGGAAAAAAATTGAGATACTCATGCAAAGGAAAATAAGTTAAATTCATGTAGCTATTATCCTATTAGTTTTTAATTTCAATTTTTTGTTGTAAAAATCAGTGGTCTTGTAATTTCTCTAATTCATTTAGCATCTTTAACAGGTATTTAATCTGTTAGTCAATACTAGGGTTATAAACGATAGTAACTTATAATATTTTAGACAACTGTTAATGCATTCCCTAAAATCTAATGTAAAGAAAAAAAACACAATTATAGCATAAAGAATTTCTCATAATTCAGGCTCACATGCAAAATTTATTTTTTTTCATTTTGAAAAAACAGAACAGTGAATATCTTACGCCTAGTGCAAAACAGAGAAAGAAAAGGCAACAGCCACTCATAGGAATAATTAAAGCAAATAAACTTATAATATTAGGATTGTTAATTTCTAGGAGACATAAAGTCCAACATCTTAAATTGAACAACTATCAAACCATAAATTGAGGG